ACTGAACTCTCCGAACAGCTCCGCTCACTTCGAAAGAACTGTTCGAACAGTTCTCGCGAACTGAGCTGAACTATTCGAACAGTTCAGTCCAGCGCGATAGAACTGTTCGAGCAGGTCTCCCGAACCGACCTGAACTGTTCGGACAGTTCAACTCACATCAGCTCGGAGAAAGGATAATGTCCGATTCCGTGGGGGTACCCATAAATCCTCAAGGGCTATCCTATAGGGTACCCATAAGTCCTCAAGGGCTATCATATAGGGGTACCCGTAAGTCACCAGTGGCTATTCTATAGCGGTACCCATAAGTCCTCATGGGCTGTCGTGTAGGGGTAGCCGTCAGTCCTTATGGGCTATCCTATAGGGGTACTCATAAGTCCAGATGGACTATCCCAAAGGGCTACCCATAAATCCTCATGGGCTATCCTATAGGGCTACCCATAAGTCCCCATGGGCTATCCTATAGGGTTACTCATCAGTCCTCATGGGCTCTTCTATAGGGTACCCATTAGTCCGTATGGGCTATCCAATATGGGTACCCATAGGTCCACATGGGCTATCCGATAGGGGTACCCATAAGTCCCCACTGCCTATCCTATAGGGGTACCCATAAGTCCGCATGGGCTATACTATAGGGGCACCCATAAGTCCGCACGGGCTATACTATAGGGGCACCCATAAGTCCGCACGGGCTATCCTATAGGGGTACCCAAGAGTCCTCATGGGCTATCCTATAGGGGTGCCCATAAGTCCCCACTGGCTATCCTATAGGGGTACCCATAAGTCCTCATGAGCTATCCGATAGGGGTACCCATAAGTCCCCACTGTCTATTCTACAGGGGTACCCATAAGTCCCCACTGTCTATTCTACAGGGGTACCTATAAGTCCCCACTGTCTATTCTACAGGGGTACCCATAAGTCCCCACTGTCTATTCTACAGGGGTACCCATAAGTCCGCATGGGCTGTACTCTAGAGGCACCCATAAGTTCGCAGGGGCTATCCTATAGGGGTACCCATAAGTCCTCATGGGCTATCGTATAGGGGTACCCATAAGTCCTCAAGACCTATCCTATAGGAGTTCCCATAGGTCCCCACTGGCTATCCTATAGGGGTGCCCATAGGTCTGCATGGGCTATCGTATAGGGCACCGATTGGTCGCGACTGGCTATCCGATACTGGTATCCATAAGTTCTGATGTTATTTCCTATTGGGAGTACCGATAGATCGCCAAGACTAATGTTACGGCGGCATTCGTAAATCTTGAAGTGCTTTGAAAGTGCATATGCTGGTGCTTTTGGGATCTGTGCGGCGTGTGACGCGTATGATTTTCAAGTGGGCTGAATTGTTGGATCTTGGTTTGTTTGCTGACGGTCTTCTATGGTGGCTATATATTTGCCTTTGGAAGTTGTTTGTTGGCATCAGTGTTGTCGATGGTCGCGTGTCTGTCTTGGTTATTCCATGCAGTTATGGACAGGCGCATAATCGTTTGCTGGGTGTGGGCTGACAGATCCTTCTGATCGCTGGCGTGTCTCTTGGAGTTTAGTTACGTTTCTGGTGTTGATGCAGGTTAATGAAACAATCCCTTGGTTTCGTATTACGTGCAGCTTTTCTTAATGCATTAGTCGTTGACGCATCGCTTTAATTTGTTTTTTTGAAAAGCGGCTAAGATGGACGCAGGTAGTCATAGTCATGTTTATGGAAATGTTCATCGTTTGGTCAGATGCCTCTTGCATTGAGTTAAGTGTGTTTCGGGTTTTGCGTGGGGTTAAAAGTTTCATGATTGTTTTTGAAGTTTGCGGAAATGTTTTTGTAGTGAATGAATATGTGTGGTTGTAATGAAAGGTAGTCTGCTTTTAATTGGAATGATCTTCTGGATGGTCTTCAAAGGCTCTTCAGATAGTATGCCTGCATGAAATTTCGAATGGTGTATCGATAGCGGTAACCTAGTTTAACTGGTTCATGATGTGTGTTTGAGCGTTGAAAATTCGCATGGAATTTTTTGTGGATTCTATATATACTTAACATCGGGAATAATAGATAAATGAAATTTTGGAATATGATTTATTTATTTATGATGTTGTCTTATGCTGATTTAAAAAATTCGATTTCTTTTTTGCAAATAATATTAATGACGTCGAAATTTGAACTGTCAACAATTTAGAACTGAATTTTAATTTTTCTCAAACAAACTTTTGAAATTACAGTAATTGTCTTCAAACTATATTTATTATTCGTTTAGCACAGTTTTTTCACCAAGAGTGTCCTTGTGAGATAGATTTCCAGTACTCCTGTGCTTTTTGTAATAGTTTTTTTCTAGTCATTTCAGTTGATCTGAGGCTCATAGGTTCTAGAAACAAGTAGGTTAAGGACTAGAGGAAATGTTTCGTTTGGCGAATTTTTGGAACACAAGTCTTAATTTAATTTCTAACCGAATGATACATTTTCATGTTTAAATAACTCTGAAAAAAATAAGAAATGTTTCTGTAACTTTACACAATAATTTCCTTTTTGTTTTCAGATTAATTTTCACTTGAGAATGCAGGATTATGATAAAAAATTAAATTTGGATTAGTCTTCTAAAAAATTGCGGAGCAAAGGGTTTCCTTTACTCATTAACCTTCCTATGTTTAGAACCTATAGGTCTCAGATCAACTAATGTATCTCAGAAAGATGAATATAAGACACGTTTCTGATTGGTACAGACCATCCAAACAAAAGAGAGTAAGACGCTGGAGGGCCAAAAATTGGTTATCCGTTGACACTTAAAATGTCTAAATTAGATAAGTATTAAGCAAACAAAATCAGCTCAAAGTGTCTTGTATAAAGAGACGGATCCTCTTGTGCATACACTTCTTATGTATTGATTTTGTAGAGTAAGGTATTTCTTCGATGTGTGACTGGTAGAGTAAATTGGCCTCTAAGCTACGGGCTTTTTTAAAATCAAACGTTCTCAGCTAGTTTTCTCTTTTAAAATTAGTTATGATAGCGATAGTATAACTTTACAACCGCTAACTTTATAACTCAGAGGGAAAATAATAATATATTGATACATGGCATAAAATGAAATTTCATTGTTCAAGAAGCGAATTTAACGATTATTAAAATATGAGAAATACAGACTTGAAAGTAGCTGTTAATTCATTTATATTTCTTTCGACATTGATTGATGGACCAACGTCACCAATTCCGCAATACTAAACAATGTTTAATCTCACTAGTGATTCACTTCAAATAGCATTATCAAGAAGAGTAAAGCCGCATAGCGAGCGATTAAATAGTTTATCGTTATGACTGGTTCTTTTCTTTTCGATTTTCCTCCATTCCTATAGAAGCTAGACACTGTTACTGCATCGATCACTAGTATAAATTGACTGCAGTGATACCGCTTGGCAATCACCACTTGAGACATACTTCGTGACTATTCAGATAAAACAGAGAAACATCTCCTTCGCTTCTTTCTCTCTCATACTCATCTTCTACTTTCTCGTCAACGTTTACATGTCTATTTCCATCCTCCACTAAATTATACGCCAGAAACAGCCTTAACTCAACACAGAAAAATCGAACCCCTTTACCAAAATTTCAGGTATTCATGCTGACCTAATAACGACTAAAGCCTGCCGGTTTCTGTCCATCTGTGCTTGTTTCCCATCAAAACTTTTCGACGACTAGTACAAACCAAAAACAGCAGGAATAATGCTCGTTAACCAACTCAAATAAGAAACACATTGCCATTCCAAAGCACATATTTTTCATCTATTTTGTACATTTGCATTCGCCCTTCAGAATGCTTGTTATCGTGCACAGACCCATAAAAAGAGACCACATTTTCGCTAAAACACATACTCATATGCTTATCCGGTCATGTTAACGTTCCATAAAAAACTCTCCAACATCCTACATATTACAAATGGAACATTTTTGAAGACTACTTATAAGTACACTTCAAAGAGCTAGGGGTACCCCCATAGGATAAGCCGTGAAGGTTTATGAGTAGCACTATAGAATAGCCCTTGAGGACTTATGGGTAGCCCTATAGGATAGCCCATCTGGACTTATGGGTACCCCTATAGGAGAGTCCATGAGGACTAATGGGTACCCCTATAGGATAGCCCTTGAGGACTAATGGGTACCGCTATAGGATCGCCAGTGGGGACTTATGGGTACCCCTATAGGATAGCCCATGCAGACTTATGGGTACCCCTATAGGATAGCCCATGAGGTCTTTTGGATACGTGTATATAGTCTGGTTTTATGAGTTCTTCGAACTGAGATGAACTGGTTGACCAGTTCTACCGAGCTGAGCTGAACTGTTCAAACAGTTCAGCTCAGTTTGGAAGAAATGTTCGAACAGTTCTATTGAGCTTAGCTGAGCTGTTCGAACAGTTCAGCTCAGTTCTGGGGAATTGTTCGAACAGTTCTTTCGCTCTTTTGAACTCAGTTCACGAGCTGGAACTGTCGAAGGTCTATCAGTGAGACAATAAATATCAGGCAAAATAACATCAGACCTGATTTTAGCACCAAGCATACGGAAAAGAAAAACAAGAAATTGTGTTCTCGATAGATATAGTCCGATAAAGGTAAGAAAATCTTTTATAAACCAATAAATAAACTGTGCTTGATAGTTTTTAACTTCTGTATGTGTGAATCGTGAGGGTCTTTTTTATAAATGAGGTCCAACAGTAGTAGACTGCACAACACAAGATTGCATGAATAAATAGTGCAGTAGCTGTTGGTAATAACAAATATAAAGTAACTAATATATACTTGCTTATAAAGAAGCACAGACAGGTAAACAACATTGTACAAATAGATACGGAATCCGAGGATAATAAGTCATTTGCAGCAGATATATCGTCAGGCACTTGAAAGGGCATTTTACGAGCTGGAATACCGAGTAAAACACAATTATTTTCTACGTTAGCTGTTTTTCGTGTAACTAATGTAAGACTTCCAACAATTATTTTCAAAGGAAGTCTTGTAGCTGGCATAATAGTACACCCGTTGCCAAGATTTGTGTTGGAGCCAAGATGTATTTCATCAAGACAATAAAGACCTTCTTTCGTCATTTTGAATGAAGCAAGAATAACTCCACCAAATGTTGTTACACCACGTTCAATATAAAGAAGATTTGATGGGAAACGTACTATTTGATGAAATTCAGCGAATTTGACATCATCTTCAACATGTGCATCTAATCATCGTAAAATGACAGACGCAAAAGAATTGTATGATGGTAGAAAATCCAATGCTATATGAAAGGATGTTATAATCAATTGACGTAACCATAATTTGTGCAAGTAATAGTAAGAATTTATTGGATAGTATCCTGATCTGACGGGTCCTATAATAAACTTCAGCAGGACTAAAGCAATCGAAAAACTTGTCAATGTCCAGAACAACCAGGTCAAAGCAAGAGTGATGAATAATGGCAAGGATAAAATTGAACAAAAAGTATAGACGCCATGAACAAAAAGCAGAACTATTCCATGAATAAAGAGAAGACACAGTAGACAAGCTGATTGAAATAAACTTTGTCTCAGTGAAAATGATCGCTCTTTGATAAATATTTGATCTTTCGATGCTGTAATGATCCCAGTAATAGCAGACATTGGTTTCACATAAACGTTATCTTTTATGATTACATCTTCATACAGTACACTACGTGTGTTTATAGAACAGTATGATCCAATGCAAATTCGATGAAGTTGGTAAGTTTGATCCTGATATGATAAATTTGAAAGCACAACTGCTTCGTCAATAAATGATGAGTCTCCTACTTCAAGTAACCAAGGAGCATCGATCAGTGTGGTATAAATGTGTGCATGACATTCAATTTTAGCACCACACAATCGAAGATAAGAATTATAAAATGGTGTACCAAATAAATGCTTTGACCAATAAGAGTTATTAGTCGACCACAAGCTATTCAGAAACCACCAACGATAATAGTACCATGAATATAATCTTTCCGCATTGTTTGTAGCTTCCCCCAGCTGCAACAGCAAACGCTGACAAATAACATATAAGGAAAGATGAAAAATAGGTACAACAAGAAGAATGATCAAAGCATTAAAATGGAAGACTAGCCAATTGGGAAATAACCATTGACATATTAGTAATATGATGCCTAATGCTTCGATGCATAAGGATGGCATTAAGTGATCTTGATTTTCTTGAACCCATTGTGGAGCAGTAGTTGTAACCGAAAAGTTATTGTCTGTGACCAGCAATGGTTCAATAGCTTGTGCAAGCTGTCGAATCGATGGGTTAGCGAATAAGAGACCAGCATCAACCTTTGCACATATTTCTTGTCGAATGAGCGCTAGTGCTCGCATAGCATCGAGTGACGTACCACCCAATTGTCCGAACGGAGTATTTGTGTTTAGTGACTCACTGTTAAATGCCTTGCCGAATATGCGTTTTAGGTGTTCTTCTAAAGGTGTTAATGGCATTAAATCCAAGGGGGAATCGGCGGATTGCCAGGATTGCCAATCCCATGGAAATTCTGGCAATCCCATAGGAATCCTGAAATCCCATGGAAATCCTGGGAATCCCATGAAAATCCCCGAAATCCCATAGAAATCCACGAAATCCCATAGAAATCCCATTGGAATCCAACGGAAATCCCTGAATTAATTAATGTGGATATGTAAAAAATACTGAAATTATAGCTCATGTTCATACATATCAGATGCAACTTCATTCAATTAACAT